CCCGCCCCCCGCCCACCGCCGCCCCTTGGAAAGTAGCAGTAATAGAATCCTGATGAAGAGGATTTACATGAACTCCTGAAGCATCAGTAATGAGAGTGCCAAAATTTATGTATCTATTAAAGTTAATTTTAAACTAAGTTTTTCTTGTCATAGCTAGTAGTGCATTTTCCTTTGGCTATATTTACTCATCTTTCCATCCAAAAGTGGCCTTTACAATAACCTGGTATTCTTGATTGGTCCCAACGCATTTAGGAACCCTAAGAACATCTGGCTGAGGATTCAGATAGCTGAATGTCTAATCCATCTAAGACTGCCTTCACTTAATGTACTGAGCTGATGTTGGCAACATCTGCTCCGATACACTGAGTGAAGGAGGATGTTTAAAGGAAGGGAATGTGTGACTCACACAAAGTATCCACCACATCGCCTTCAACTCTGTTAACAGTGCTTGAAGACCCTGTTAGTGATCTTCAAAGTCACTCAGATAGCAGAACCTATGTCCAGACATCAGTCACTCTTGAAAATGCTGGTCAGAACTCTTAGGTACTTAACCAAGGCACCTATCTCTGTGCTGAATATAGACAGCACTCACCCTTGGCAGTGAATCAGAAGTGAGATTCTCATTATATGGAATGCTGCAGGGCAATTTCATAGACTTGCGTGCAAGAAGGAAAAATCATGCAAGAAGTCATTAAAACACAGTGTGCAAATTGAAAGGAGAGTCTTGCTAATTGCTAATTATATCTTTGAGGTTCTCCTGCAGGTTCTTTATCTCTCAAGAAGGAACAATTTGTTTCTTTTTTTTCTTAACAACTACCATACACTTCAGTTCTTTCTTCCTTCCCCCGTACAAGACAGCAAATGTATAATGGATTTCTTTAAGGAGAGGTTTGACTTTTTTTCTTTCCACCTAGAAGCTAATAAAGAAAAGCTAAAAAGCTATAGATCAGTAGAGAATGGAAAAGTACATCTAGGGAGTACCATTTTGAGGTTAGGAAAGAGAGCTTGCCCTAAGACTTTAACAAGCAACATATTGCAATTACGGGCAGGCTCTCCAACATGTCCTTAATTATGCAAGGTAAGTCAAATAAATGTTAATCTGCAAGACAGCTAATTTATTTTCTGAATCTATTCTAAAAATAGGATGAAGTAAAATTTGCTTTTGAGATCATATGTCCTAAAGTTGGAATAAATTATCAAATGGGATTATATATGTTAGCAAATTGCAATGAATGTGGGGATAGGAAACCTAGACTTTTTGTTCAATCTATGTAATGCCAGGGTTTCTTTGAATGGCCCTGTGTAAGTTACTGTACCACATGGTGCTTTCATTTCCCTGAACACTAAAATAGACTTAATGTACCATTGACTAATTCTGTTTCACTGGGCTAGTAGTCATTTAAACACTGGATCCTGAGATTCCTCGGTTGTAAACTGAAAGGCTTGGGATGATCTCCCTCCAAGCTTCAATGTATTAAAATGACTACAATTATAACTTACTGTCTACTGTGTGTCATACACTGTACTAGGTATTTTACACACAGTATCTCTAACCTTTACAACTATGCAAAAGGCCAATAGTATCATCCCCACTGTATATATGAGGAAACAGAGACTAGATAGGTTAAGAAATTTACCAGGGTCACAAAGTTTACAGATAACGCTAGAATTCAAACCAAGTTCGCCTCCACTGTCCCATACTGTCTGCCCTGAAGCTAAAACCCATGGTCTCTGTTGAGGGTAGGAAATATTGGAGAATGGTTTTCAATCTAATAAAATCTATTTAATGGGAACAATACATTTTTATTTGTAAGATAAATGACTTTTAGTCTACCTTCCTTTTCTTATTAGATCTTTTCCTCTAATTTTTTCGACCTGGTAGTGTACCCTTAGTGCACTACATAGCATTTACATAGTCTGTAAATGTAATTATTCAAATAAATCTCCAGGAAAGTTTGTCACATTTTTTGGAAGAGTCTGCATTTTGGAACTTCAGCAACATTTTCTTAAGGGGTGGAGGCAGGAAACCTTAACTTTATTAAATTTCTTGACTATAACTGGTAACTACAAATTTGGTTTAAAGGAAAAAATGGAAGTGTCCCTGAATAGATTTTCATATAAGACTAGAGGCCTGGTGCATGGATTCGTGAACCGGTGGGGTCCCTTGGCCTGATCTGCAGGGATTAGGCTGAAACCTCTCCAACATCCCCCGAGGGGTGCCGAATTACAAGAGAGCGTGTATTAGGTGACGCACCCTGGAATCAGGCTCCCTCCTCTCTGATTCCGGGTGCATCACCCAAGAACCACAGTTGCCAAGTCACCTCAGCTACAAAGTCACCGCAGCTACAAAGTCACCTCAGCTCTGCAGCTCCTGCATTGAGAGTCTGCCCCCTGGTGGTCATGGTGCATCACAGCTACTGGACAGTTGGATGGTCAGATGGTCAGACTGTCACTTAGGCTTTTATATATATAGACTAGAGGCCCGGTGCACAAAAATTTGTGCACTTGAGGGGGCGGGGGGCCCCTCAGCACGGCCTGTGCCCTCGCGCAGCCTGGGACCCCTCAGGAGATAACACCCTGCTGGCTTAGGCCTGCTCCTGGGTGGCAGAGGGCAGGCCCAATCTCTAGGTGCAGCCCCTGGTCGGGCTCATAGCC